AAATTAATTAATTAATTAAAATTTTTAAAAAGATGTTATTTATTTATTTGAGAGAGAGCAGAGCGAGAGAGAGAGAGATTGAGAGAGAGAGCACCAGTGGGGGTGGAAGGGCAGAGGGAGGAGAAGCAGGCTCCCCGCCGAGCAGGGAGCCCGACGTGGGTCTGGATCCCAGGACCCTGGGATCATGACCTGAGCCAAAGGCAGGCGCTTCACCGACTGAGCCACCCAGGTGCCTCAAATCTTCCTTTTGAGGATTATTAGGGTAAATCCAGAGTGACCTTTATTCTGTAGTTAACTTATCTCCATTATTCAGACTGATTCTACTGGAGACTCTGCCTAATGCGCTGTGTATTTCCAGACCCCTCTGTTCTGGCTGGTGGGAATGTGATCTCTTTCCAACTCCATATGAGCTCTGAGAATTGTTCAGCCTATCACTTTCTGATGTGTCTTCCTGATACTTATGTAGATTTCACTCCTGGTCTGTGTGGAGAGGTCAGTACTCAGCCAGATGGGGGAAGACCTCTCTCTCTTCTGCCAAGTTTCTCTTCTGGTGTTCTCTCTCTGAAGTTTTCTACTCTCCAGTACTTTCCCCCACAGATTACAGGTGCCCTGGCTTCTCTGACCTTGGATCTCTATGTTCTCAGCTCAACTGGACCACTGGGTTTGTTTAGGTTCCCTTTCCTGCTCCCTGGCCTGGAAAGTGCTTCTTGGCAGTAAGCAAGGGCAATTTTCAGGCTCTCCTTATTTATGTTCCCTCTTTCAGGATCATAGTCCTGTATTCTCCATTGTCTAGTGTCTGAATATAGTTGTTTCAGAGATTTTGTTCAGTGTTCTCATTGCTTAGGAAGTTGGTTTCTGTGTCAGTTAATCCTTCATGCATTAAAGAAGAAGTTCTCTCCAGAATTTAATTGTTTCAACTGGGAGGGATGTTAACCCACTGTATTGCTAGAAAGGGGAGTCTTAGATGCTCTGTGGTATCTTCATGCTCAGGCAGCCCTCCCTCAGTGGTCAAATTCAACATCGGCTTTACATATTATCTAATTAGCATCCCCATAAAGAAAGAGCCCCTCTCGCATGAATTTTTGAAAAAGTCCCAGCATTAACTCCAGTTGTGCAGTTGCCCACCCCAAGCAGTCACTGTGATCAGGAGTAGAATATGTTGGTTGGCCCGGCATGCATCAGGGAGTGGGGTCCTTCTCAACATGACCCTATGAACTGACAGGGGGAACAGAGGGTGGGAGGCTGCATAAGGCCCCCAAAGACATCTATGCCCCAATCCCTGCGAAATGAACATCCCTTTGAAGATGTTCCCTTATGTGGCAAAAGGGATTTTACAGGTCTGATTAATTTAAGGGTCTTAAGATGGGAGGATTCTCTTGATGAGCCCAGTGTAATCACAAGGGTCCTTAGGAGAAGGAGACGGGAGGCCACAGATCCAGGAGGCCGTGTGACTAGGGAAGCAGAAGGACACAGAGAAAGATTTGAAGGCATTATGCTGCTGATTCTGAAGATGGATGATGTGGCTACAGGCAGCCGCTGGAAGCTAGAAAAGGCAAGGAAATAAATTCTCTCTAGAACCTCCAGAAGGAACAACCTCCAGAGGAAACAGATACAGGGTAGTTCACCCAAGGAAAAGCATGGTGTTCTCAAACAAAGGGAGGATGGGTGCTGGGCAGGCAAAACCAATGGATGTCCCCCAGTCTCATGAGCTTTTTGGAGTCAGTATTGCCATGTCCCATAACTCTGACTGGCCCCATTCAAACACAACACATTGTGAATTGTACCCCGCCCCTCCACCCCCAGCCCCGGAGCTGGGCAGCATGGAGACCCTGGCCATGAGGATTATGTGAGTCAATACATGTGAAACATTCTGAACAACGCCTGGCACATAGAATTCAGTAAAAATTAATTGTTTTCATTGTTGTGGCCTCTGATGCCATCGTCATCACCATCACACTTGCTCCCTTTGGCGTCTCACCTCATTTGCAAGACGGTCTAAACCCAGCAATCTGAGGTTCCTTCCATCCTGACATTCTATAATGACCGATTTTGCCTGTTTGAGAAGTGCCACATCACCCTTCGGATATTAAAATCCTTCTATTTACAGTCTGGGAGAAAACAGAAAAATATATCCAACTTAGAAACTGGAGAATCTCTTTCCCTTTGTACCGATTTTAGTTCCCACAGATGCCAGTGAGATTTATCAATATGTTTGAAGAGGATATGAAAACCTAACATTTGCATATATCATTTGCAGTCAGTTCCTCAACTTTTGCTCCCCATCAAACCCTTAAATGCATGTTTCTAGATTAATAGTCAGACCTGATGGAACTACATTAACAGAGTTCAGTTTAAAAACCAATTTAAGGGGGCGCCTGGGTGGCTCAGACGGTTAAGCGTCTGCCTTCGGCTCAGGTCATGATCCCAGGGTCCTGGGATCGAGTCCCGCATCGGGCTCCCTGCTAGGCGGGGAGCCTGCTTCTCTCCCTGTGCCTCTGCCTCTCTCTCTGACTTTCATGAATAAATAAATAAATAAAATTAAAAAAAAAAACCAATTTAAGGGGAGAAAAAACTATTAGAGAAGCCAGAGGGATGAATGGAGAGATTGAAATCTTACAGCTATTCATTTTTCAGAGGGTTAATACTGCCTAAAAATGTTAGTATTAATTGTCTTGGAATCATTACAGATACACTAGTCCAGTCATTCAAGTAAATATATTTTGGCTTATCACCTTGCAGGCTGAGCTTGCATTTTCCAGGTTCCAGTGGCAAGGACAATTTAATACCGCATCTTCAAAGTAATTTTATTTGAATCGTATTTTCGCACTTTCATTTTAAAACGGGCACGCCTGATAGTTGGGGAGCACAAATTGTTATGAGTCAACTAGTGAAACCTGATTGTGAAGCCTTAATAGGAAAAGTTCAAAAGCGACCTCAAATCTCTCTCTTCTCTTCATACCCAAACATCTTCACTGTCTAAGAGTACAAGCTCTGGAGTCGGAATGCCTGGGTTTTAATCTTAGTTATTTGCCGGTTGTGTAGCCAATGGGGCTTAGTTACTTTACCTCTCTGGGCCTCAGCTTCCTCATCTGTGAGAATGAGAATAATATTAATATTTCACAGGGTTGGGGCGCCTGGGTGGCTCTTTGCCTTGTGAACTCTTGTCCTCTTGTCATCTTTTGCACCTGCCCCTATGAGCACTGAGGGATCCAGAATTTATTATACAGCTCATCTCCAAAGGATTGACTTGAATCCTTCCTCGGGTCCAACATAGATAGTTTAAATGAATCAGGGTTCATTTCATTACAGGTGGCAGAAAAAAACAACTCAAAGTGGCTTGACCAGGCAAGGAAATTTATTGGCTCCCCTAACTGAAAAGTTCAAGTGTAGAGTTCAGGTGTGGCTGGATCCAGAGTCTTCAACACTATGGTCAGACATCTATCTCTCACCATTTTGACCCTGCTTTCCTTTGTGTTGGCTTCAGTCAGAGGCAGGCTCTTTGCAGGTGGTGAATTCTAGCAGATCCAGGTGTTTATCATTCCAAGGTCCAGTCCAGAGTAACGAATGTTCTCCTTCCAGATAAAGAAGGCTGTTTTATTTCCCTATTTCAATTAGGACATCCCTAATTATTCCAGTCAAAGTCCTGGCTGGTTTTGACTGGATCACAGGCCCATCTAGAACACATCATGGCAGCCAGGCTAAGAGATGACTTGACTAGTCAGGACTGGGCCATAACATCACCCCTGGAACTCAGAAGGCAGTTAGCTCCACCTGAACCACATGAAGTAAGAGTGGGAGGGGTAGCTCTCCAGCGAAAGTCATGAACAATGAACGGCTACTGTGCAAGAATTTCAGGGACCCTACACAGCAACCCCCTTAAAGCTCACTGAAGAGATCCCTCTGTGGTTTTCAATACCAAAACATTTGTTATACTATTGTCTGGAATTGAAGAGAGAGGGATAAACCTATTAAAGTAGGACTTTAGAGAAAGAAAAATTAACTGTGGCTGAGATCATGAGGGAAGACTTCATAAAGAAAGTGACATTTGACTTGAACCCCCCAAATAAAAAGATGGTTGGATTTTATTTTATTTTTTTTTAAGATTTTATTTATTTATTTGACACAGAGACACAAGGGGAGTGGGAGAGGGAGAGGGAGAAGCAGGCTTCCCGTGGAGTTGGGAGCCCGATGGAGGGCTCCATCCCAGGGCCCTGGGATCATGACCTGAGCTGAAGGCAGATGCTTAACGACTGAGCCACCCAGGCACCCCGATGGTTGGATTTTAACAGTTGGGAAGGCAGGAAGCACATTAAAGATGGAGGGACTGATTTGAGCAAAGGCAAAAAAGCAGACTATTAAAAGGTTTTGTCAGAAACTTCTGGAAACTTGGGGTGCCTGGGTGGCTCAGCTGGCTAAGCATCTGCCTTCAGCTGAGGTCATGATCCTCGGGTCCTGGGATCAAGTCCCGCATCAGGCTTCCTACTCAGCGGGAGCCTGCTTCTCGTGCTCCCTCTGCTGCCCCCCCCCCCTTGTGCTCTCTGGCTCTCTCTCTGTGTCAGATAAATAAATAAAATCTTAAAAAAAGGAAGTTCTGGAAACATGCTGAAGAAGTTTGGATCCTGATGCAGGAGAACTCAAGTGAGCAAACTATCTGAAGGTCATGAGTGACTGCAGAAAATAAGCTCGCAGACACACACAGGATACAGTTCCTTTAGTACTGGTGAAGGATACAAGAGTTTCACTGCCAAAACACACCTCTGTGGATGAGGGGACATGTTCACTAGAAGCAGCACCTTAGGGACATGAACCTGGAGGCAGTGGCTAGGATGGTTTGGAATGGGGGGTGTGTCCAGAGGAGTAAATGGGGGATTTGTTGGTAGGCTACGGCTATAGCTAAGTTATCCCCTTAGGCCTTGGGGTTTTCATCATCCCTGGATAGTTCCTCTTTTATCCTTCCTTATTTTTCTAGGCTAAATCTATTCTGCAAGGGTTCCTGGAGGATTCAGGCTACAGTATCCAGGATCTGAAGAGCTTCCACTTAGTAGGACTTGGTACAACGCTGTGTACTATGAACGTCACCGAAATCTCACTCATAAAGATCTCAGAATTCAGGTATCCAAACCAGTAGTGTTCAAAATGGCAAATGATTGATTGGCCAGTTCATTCATTCAGCAAGATGTCTTTTGCTTCCTGATGCCTTGCCCCCTTTCTGGGTTAAAATAAGGTGTAGAATCAATTGGATCCTTTCTGGATGCTGAGCCTACCTACCTTCTGCACACCTGTCGTGTCTGGAGAGTCTCCCAGGCTCACACTATATCCTTCCCTCTTAACCAGGGTGGTGGTGGCCAGAATCGGGACCCTGCTCTGTAGCATCCATGTCTTGGCCGAGTTTAAGAGGAAGGCAGAAGTTGTGTTTGGGGATCCCACCCAATGGTCCAGCTCTGTCCTGCAGGAGCTCGGGACTATTGCAGGTACGGCACCTCGAGCAGGCCTCCTGTCCCTGCCCAACCTGAAATCTGGAGACAAAAGCAAAAAAATAAAATAAAATAATAATAATAATAACAATAAAAGAATCCTTGGCTGTACGTAGTGAACATCTGTAAAATTACAGTAGAACCCAGATTCATGACTTGAGGTTGCAGAGGGGGGTCTACAAATCTGTTCTTTAAACAAGCTCTCTTGGTGGTTCTTGTGCACACTAAAGTGGTTTAGGATGTGATTTAATTGACTTCTAAATAGTTTTATACACAATCTGAAATTGCATAAAGTGAAGCTCCTTCTGGGCCTACTTTTTGTTGTAGGAGACCAGTCAGGGCTAATGTGACCCACTTTTTCTTTTTTTTTTTTTAATCAGAGTTGATTAAGGAACTTGATTCTCCAGTGTGATTTTCAAGGCTTTTTGTAAGAAATGACGCTTGCCTAGAACACACAGATCTGTACATAATGCAGCACCATTAATAAAACAAGTGGAGTTGCGATGGCTTGAACTAAACCCTCGTGATGCATGCCTTTTTCTCCCCAGCTGGATTAACGAAGGAAGAGCTCCAAATGCTGGACAAGGATTTGATGCCGTATTTCCAGCCATCAGCAATCAAATGCCTTCCTGATGAGATATTCAAAGTAGGTACTCAGTTCTTCAAGGAGAATAGGAGCTTGACCCCATTTCAAATCAGAGACAGATGGCAGGCCTTGGATTCTAGGGGCTTGCCACCAGATTTCTGCTGAAAGGGCCAGAGGAGAGGTGTATGCCAACACTGAATGGGTCACAAGATAATTTTAGGTTTAAACACATTTTTTTCCTTAAAATTTTATGTTTTAATTTGTATTTATTTTTATGGTTGGCCTCTCTTCATAGCAAGGTATTGATTTTCTATTTATGATGGTATGACAGAGTCATATTTCTTTGTCTAGAACCCTTGGGGACAGATACATTTCAGAATTCAGAATTTTCCAGATTTTAAAAAGATAACTCTGTGAATCTCCACTATGTAATTTAACACCCCCAGCAGTGTCTGGGGAAGCACCTTATACATTAATATTTCTGTGAAGAAGTCAGTGATGCCACACTAATTGGAATAAATAGAGACTATAAATGACCTTACATCAATTCAAGGTTTTGCAGGCAAATAAGTTTGTCTTAAACTTTGGGAAAAACATTCAGTTCTGAGATTTTTTTGGACTTCAGAATGGCCGATGAGGAATTATGGACCTGTATAACATTTCCTTTTTAAATTGATTGAAGTAAACATATTTTAGTTGATTTAAAGAAAAGTGTTGAGAAAACCTCAACAGGACAGGTGAGAAACGGCTATAGAAGAAATTGAGGAGGTGGCATTGGATCAGCTGAGGTTAGGGAAACAGGGTAGTCAGGGCCTTGTGTCCCCATACAGGCTTAGGGGAGTGTTTGGTGGGGACTGCAGCATGCTCTGATGAGGAGTGGCCCTGGTGTTCTCGTTTGCTGGGTAACTTGGAAATAAATTCTCTCCACCACAACTGTGGAAGACACACAAACGAGGTTGGACAGATGCCCGTGATGCCACATCGCTGGTTCATTTCAAGACAGACAGCCAACCTTCAACGACTTCACAACACAGGACAGTTTCCAGCACAGAGTAGGTGCAATAGCTGTTTGGGGGGAAATAAACAGTAGTCCTGAAGGCTCCGGAGCTGCCCTTCTGGGGGTTTCTGCAGGGCAGAGGTGCCTTGGTTCTGGATGCTGGCATGTTGCTGAGCACTTTCCCCTGGCCTGGTTTGGAGTGCACTTTGTGGTTGTTTCCTTGTTCAGGGATTTGTCTTTTTCAGAAATTCCTAGGTGCACCTGGGGACGCAGTTCTGAAAGGGTATAACCTAGCGCCTTCAGGGCTTTAGGAGTAACATAAGACAGTGCAGTGGCCTGTGGCCTGGGTAGAGTCCAAGGTGAATAAAATTAGCCCTGAATGGGGAAGCTGCTTCTCATCTCTGGCACATCAACGCAGTGTGACAATGTGGGCCCGGTATTGCTGGATCTTCCTTTTATTTTTTTTTTATTATTTTATTTACGATTCCAGAGGTCTCCATTTTCATGTGAAACCTGCTGATAATCAAATGTTGGCAACCACTTCGAATTTATTTTTTTTTAAAGCACAGTCCAGTGGGCCTAGAGATTCCATCTGGCTGGTGGGTTGCAAGTCCGCCATGTTGGAAAAAATAGGTAATTTATAGAACACAGACTGTGTTAACAGTAGATGCAAGGTGCAAGCCAGAAGAGTACCTGTGTTGTGTGTGTGTTGGGAGGGGGAGCGGGGAGAGGTGATGCTGACCTCGCATGACAGGTTAGCTAGGTTGGAGGGAGGAATAGCATTCCAGGCAGAAGGAAGTACACAGCAGAAGTGCTGCTTCCTGGGGGTCACAAATACAGGTGCTCATTCTCCTGCAGTGAAGAGTGCCGGTGGGAGGCAGCTGGACAGGTGGGCTTGGCCCAAAGCTTGAGGGCCCCATTGCCACATTCAGGAACTGGAACTGTGTCCTGGAAGTGGGCGGCAGGGAAGGGTTCTAAGCAGGGGAAGCATCTCCCTAGACAGGGAATAAGAAGAGGGTGAAGGAGGAAAGAGGAGTGGATGAGGGGGCATAACCCCTTTCCCAGAGTCTTTGGGGTCCTTAGAAAATAAGCAGCATGACTTTAGATGCCTCTCTACAAATTCAGAATCCTGCCATCTCATCTGCCATCCCATCTCATTGCAGACCCTCTGGAACTAGCCACCAAGTCCTCTGAGCTAGAAGCAGCTTCAGTCAACATCTTGTTCAGAGTCCTCAAAGACATTAGTGTACTTGGCAGAAGTTCCCACTTCCAGTGGCCATGGTAGACGTCACTAATAGATTACCACACCTTTCCTCCACGTAGCTCTTGCAGGGCTCACCCACAGGGTGCGCAGGCAGTCACGCCAGAGGATCAGAGTCCACACAGGAGAGGAGTTCTCGGCGCCATCCCACATCTAGTCCAAAAGCCCAGAGAGGCTGTGAAATTTGCTCGAGTTCACACAGCTAGTATGTGGCAGAGCTGGGACACAGATTCAGATCTTTGGCCTTTAGGCTTGTGTTTTCTCCTCTACGCCAGTGTTTCTCAGGTGGGGGACTTGAAACCTGGGGGAAGTACCTCGAACTGAATTAAGAACTGAATTAAACAACGTTAAGTCACACAGTGAGAAAACCATGACTTTCTTTTCAACTCTCCTTTAATGCTGATTACTTCAACGAGGAAGTCTCAGTTTGGAGCTAAAATGTCTTTAACCCTCTATAACATTTCAAGTCTCCTCTTCTTGACTATTTTTTAAGAGGCCTTGGATTCAGACATTGTTGGCCAACAAAGCCAGCTTGAATGCAATAATGTTCATTTCTTTTGGCTTATTGTTAATGATTACTAATGGAAAGTCACTTTGGTCTTCCATTTTTGGAAATTTCCACTAAAATGTTCCATTTAAAAAATAAATGTATTCTAGTAGTGAAAAGAGCGATGTGATTTTAAGGAAAAATCTCAAGAAGAGCACAAATGGTACACGGGTATGGCAAAGTTGTGCGGACCCTGGGCGGATGACCGAGGTTTGGGAAGGCCGCGGAGGACCCCCTCCCCGAGGGCCTCCCCCTGAGGGCGCTGTCCCCTTTCTCCGCTGCAGGAGCTGTCCATGGAGCAGATCGCCTCTTTGGGCCCCGAGAACGCCGCGGCGGTGACTCCAGCCCAGCGCCGGCAGCTGAGCATGTTGCAGCTGCAGAGCCTCCAGCGGGCGCTAGATGGCGCCAACACGCGCTCCTGGCTGGACACGCCCCCGAGCGCCAGTCCCACCCGGACCCCCTCCTCTGGTTCTCCTCCTGGTGAGCGGGACAACCCTCGGCCCAGGCCCCCACCCCTAGCCCCCTTCCCTGTCCCCGAGTACCCCCCTGCCCGTCCTGGGGCGGGGAGGTTCCTAAAGATTCAGAGCGGGGTCTCTCACAGTCTTTGGAGACTCTGCATTCAGAGAAAAATCCAAAGTCCCTACCAAGCGTATGTAAATGACGCTCAACTCTGGCTGTGCTTTCAAGTCACCTGGGGGAACTTGTAAGACAGCCGGTTTCACGGACCCCACCCAGAACTCGTTGAATCAGAATCTCTTGGGACTAAATGCATTTCAGCGGTTCCCTTGCATCCTACCTCCTTCTCACGGACCAGTATTAATTAATAAATTCAACCAGTATATGTTGGGCACCTACTTTATGTCAGGCCTGCAGCAGGAGCTGGGAATACAGAGGTGAGAAGACAGGTAAGGCTGTCTTGTAAATGAACAAGGTGATTTCACATCTGGGAAGACTGGGGAAGGAAGGAGGCAGAGGGAAGTGATGGTGACTAGGGCTGAGCTAGGATAAGGGGGTTGGTCCTCTCTTCCTTAACCCTGTCACTTCTTTGTGACCCCTTCTATCTTTAGTGAGCACCATCTTTGGACGAGGCGTGGTGTTGGGCTCTGGGGAGATAGCAGTGACCAAGCCACATGTGTCCTTGATGCTCACTAAGCTCTCAGTGGAGCATGAGGGTGAGGGAAGGCATACCTAGCCTGGCGACCATGAGGCCGTATGACAGGCGCGGTGACAGGGAACACATGGGCGAGACAGCTGACCTAGGCTTGGGGGTTCAGGGAGTGGCCGTGGAAACTTCCCAAAGACAGTAATGTCTAGATTGCAGCCCGGGTTGGGGAGAATATGGACTCAGCCCATGGAGTGTCCCAGGTAGAAAGAGCAGTGAGAGCAAATACCCAGTGAGCAAAAAGAACTTGGTGCTCAAAGCCTCCACTCTACCTTTTCCTGATATGGATATGTCCCTCCGTCTGCCCCAGCCTTCCCTTGGGCTTGGAGAACTGGGGAATTCCCAATTTCTGCAGCCATAAGTGGCCAGAGGTGGCACCTTTGATTTACTATTATTGTTATTTTTTTAAAAGATTTATTTATTTATTTGAGTTGGGGGGAGAGGGGCAGAGGGAGAGGGAGAGAATCCCAAGCCAACTCCCCACTGAGCTTGGAGCCCAATGCAGGGTTCGATCCCGTGACCCTGAGATCATGACCTGAGCTGAAATCAGGAGTCAGATGCTTAGCTGACTTAGCCACCCAGGTGCCCCTGATTTACTATTATTATTTTAAAAACTTTTCATTGAAGTATAATATGCATACATTTAAATTTTTTGTTTTAGAGAGAGCCGAGTGGAGGTGGGGAGTGGGAGGGAGGGGCCGAGGGGGAGAGAGAGAGAGAATCTTAAGCAGGCTCCACACCCAGTGCAGAGCCTGATGCGGGGCTCAATCTCATGGCCCTGCGATCATGACCTGAGCTGAAATCAAGAGTTGGACACCTAACTAACTGAGCCACCCAGGTGCCCCCATTTAAAAATTATTTTTAAATATTGTGTTTTGTGTGTATTATATAACACACACAAGAGATAATGCACAGGATTCAAACTATGTAAGGGTTGAAAAGGAATGCAGTGCAATGTCTCCATCTTTCTGTCCCCTGTCCCCTCAACACGTGTTCCTTCCCCAGAGGCAAGTATTGTTACCAGCTTCTTGTGTATTTGTCCAGAGATAGTCTATACATATCCATAGATTATCTCTGCACTTTTATAAAAGGTTGTTATACCCTTTGTTCTGCACCTTGCATATCTCATTTAACAATATATCTTGGAGACAGTTCTGTATCTGTACATAGTAAGCCTTGCAATTGTTGGTTTTCTGGCTACACCATAATTGTATTTAACCAGATGTCTACAGAAGGATATTTCCGTTTTTTTGTTTGTTTGTTTGTTTTTTAACTATTACAAACAAGGCTTCAGGGGATAACCTCTTATCATTTGCATCTGTCTGAGTATATCTGCAGGATAAAATCTTCAAAGTGGGATTGCTGGGTTAGAGGGTGCATGCATTTGTAATTTTGATGGATATCACCAAATCCCCTGTAGAGAGGCAGGACCAGTTTTCCCTTGAACCAGCAGCGTCAGAAAGTGGTGTCCCTGTAGGACCCTAGATGCCTTCTCCTTCCCTTCCACTCCACAGGCCCTTCCTGTGGGTGAGGCCCTTAATCTCTTGTTTCCTAAACTTGCTTCATTATCAGGATCACCTGGGAGGAATCCTTCAAATACAGATTCCTGGGGCCTCATCCCAGGCTTGCTCAATCACAGTCTCCAGGGGAGGATCCTGGAATTTGCATTTTTTTCTAAGATTTTATTTATTTATTTGAGAGGGAGAGCGCCTGCGAGTGGGAGAGAGCATGAGCAGGAGCAGGAGGGAGGGACAGAGGGAGAGGGAGAAGCAGATTCCCCACTGAGCAGGGAGCCCAAAGTGGGCTCGATGCTAAGACCCCGAGATCATGACCTGACCCAGCCAAGCGCCCCCTGGAATTTGCATTTTTAACAATCTCCCCAGTGACTCTTATGATTAAGGCAGCTCTGGTACAAGCTGATTCACACAATGTCATTTAATTTTTACTCCCCTGCGGCAGCCCCCTCCACCCCCCCATGCCCCCTGCTTTGGGGTCATTATTCCCGCGTCCGAGAAGAGCAAACAGCATTCTGGGAGATCAAGTGAGTGGTCCAGAGGGAGACCCAGGGAGCTGGGCATGCTGTGTCTGCCCTCCGAGGGCTGCTGAGACCTCATGTGCACTCCTGTCTCCTTCTAGGAGGCCCTGTCACATGGGGTCCTTGGCTTGGCTGTCCTCTGCTGGTTCTCCTGCCCAAGACCGTGTGGTGAGCAGCACGTGCGCATGGCCCTTCAGTGTCCAAGCAGCGGGCCCCGGTGTGTGGAAACAGAGGCACTCCAGACTGTGAGACCCCCTACCCCCACCCACAGCCTCCACTGGGGCAGGGAGCCCCCAGGGCCTGGAAATTTAACACTGAATGGAAGAATAATTATTAAAAATGATCTTAAAAAGTTCTTAAGCTGGCCTGTATCCTCAGCAGAGAGCCATTCTCTGCCCTGTTTCAGCCTCTCTTGCTTTCCAGCTTGGGGACAGAGAAACTGTGGGGAGGGAAGGATGTTTTCTGTCAACAGCATGAGGATCTTATGTACAAGTCACTGCCCTCCCTCCAGAGAGAGATGCCAGGGGGTGGCAGGTGTTGGCAAAGGCACCATTTTAGATGGGGCCTGATCTGGCTTCTTCTCTGGCTTAACGTCCCTCCCTTGGAGCTATAGGCTGCATTGGATTTCTCCTTCTTAGATATTTAGCAGAGCTGAAATAAATGAATCCCTCAACAGAAGCCAATATTCCTGCCTGATTGCTGGGACTAATTGATGTTTCGGCGGGCCTTGCATTGCATGGAAATTAAAACATTTAACATGGCTCAACGTTAAATCAATTTTTAAATACATTTTCTTTTTTTTTTTTTTTTAAAGATTTTATTTATTTATTTGACAGAGAGAGACACAGCGAGAGAGGGAACACAAGCAGGGGGAGTGGGAGAGGGAGAAGCAGGCTCCCCGCAGAGCAGGGAGCCCGATGTGGGACTCGATCCCAGGACCCTGGGATCATGACCTGAGCCGAAGGCAGTCGCTCAACCGACTGAGCCACCCAGGCGCCCTTTAAATACATTTTCTAGATGCCTTCCATTTCCTTGGGAGTCAGCTGAATGAATGGTCATGGAGTTATCAGTTAAGCTTTCAAAAAATTCCTTTTCTGACGAAATCGGTGGCTCTTCTGGGTTTAAGTTTTTCTGGGCTTTGGGGATGGGTTGAAATAAAAGAAAATACACACTGTAAGTCCGTCACCCATGTGATTATTGCCCAGCAGAGCAAAGTCAGCCCACTGGCCCAATCCTTTTGGAGGCTGGGAGGGATGGAGTTCCTTCTGGAAATCTGCAGGATGCTCTAGGCCTTCAGCTCAGGAAAGGGGGACGGAAGTGTACTTTGCCACCTCCCAGGCTGTTACACCGTCTCAAAAACAGAAATCAGAGCTGTTTCTCGTGACTTCCCTTAGGTAGCAAGTTAGGCATCCTGGGCACTCATGTTCTGCCACCAGCATGCCCTGCGTTCTCTTCCTGGTCACACGTCCACAATAGACGTCTCATCTAGATAAGATGAAAAGCCTGCATGAGTTCCCAAACATCTCTGGCGTTCCATAAGAGGTGGGAGGATTTTAAAAAGCAGCATGGGTAGGTGTTATAGAGACTGGTGTATTTTCAGATGTCACATGCAGTTATTCTAGAACATCAAAATACTGGCATATGGAAGGTGTGGCCCCGCAGGGGCTATGTAGGATCTGACTTGGTTCTTCATTCATGTTGGCAGGGAAATGGCAGCTCATGTTGCTTCTCAATCACAGATCATTGATCTTGTTACTGACAGCACCAGCCGCCCAGTTTAGCTGGGCCAGACTGGCTGATCAGAGACGGGGGTTGCACGAGAATGGGTCTGTGCAGGTTCTGATCGGGTCCAAGCAGCCTTGGATCCAGCTCAGTATTCCCACTTTTTCCTTTGGCCTTGGATTTTCCTGGGGAACATCAATAAAGACAACTTCCCTTTGAGTCAGACTTCATGTTGCCAATGTCATGGAGCTCTTGTGCCTCCCCTTCCCCTTCTTCTTCTTCTTCTCCTTTTTTTAAGATTTATTGACTTATTTTAGAGAGGGGGGAGAGAGCACGAGTGTGCACTTGAGCAGGGGGAGGGGCAGAGGGAGAGGGAGAGAGAATCCTCAAGCAGACTCCCTACTGAGCTTGGGGCCCGACATGGGGCTCGATCCCAGGACCCTGAGATCATGACCTGAGCCGAAATCAAGAGTAGGCTGCTTAACCAACTGAGCCGCCCAGGCGCCCCACATCACCTTCCCTTCTGATCATTTGGTTTTGATTGAATTCCTGGACCCTCGTCCCATGTTGGATGACAGCAGTGACTCCCAGAGGGCCAGCTCTGCATCAGGCCCTGCTCTGAGGGCTCTGCCCATACCCTTCGCTCACTTCGTTGTCATCATGACTCTGCCAGGTGGATGCAGTTAGGATTCCCGTTTTCCAGATGAGGGGACTGAGTCCGAGAGGTTAAGGAACTCTAGTCAAAAGCCTTTCGGATAGTGAGGATTTGTATCTTGACTTTTTACCTCGCACTATGCTGCTTCTGGGTGAGTATCTTTTAACTTCTCCAATAAGTCAGATCAGAGAGAGATTCTGTAAATCCCTTCACCTCCTCCTCTGGTGGGAGGCCAGCTTTCCTCGCAGCACATATAATTGGTGATTGCCTCAGGCAGGAAGACAAATCCAGCTTATGCCCTGAAGGACCCCTGGGGTCTCAGGTTGAGATGCGCAGTCCTTTGCATGCAGGGAAGCAGCAGGTCACACTGGCAAGTGCTGCTTCCGTTCACCTTTCAATGTCAACCCTACCGTTGGATTCCCAGCCTCCATCTTCTACAACTTGTAACTCTCCCCACCTCCCCCATGCAGGGATCATAGTCACTCACTCCCATGCAGGTCACAGGGTGCTGGCCATGGTCCTAATTGGTCAGGACCTGTACCATACTGGGTATCAAATATTTGAATATCATGCCAGTGAGATCTTTTCGTGGAACCCCCACCTTCAAGCCCAATGCAGACGCTGAGCCTGGCTTGATGGGGGCTGGAAGTGTTCCTGTAACTTCAGTGTGCCATCCAGTGGGACCTAGAATTACATTGTTCTCTCTAGTCCTGGTGCCCAGGGAGTCTCCACAGCTGCTGGGGATGGGCTGCACGGCCAAGGAGATGTGGCTGTGTCTTGGGGTATGTGTGTGTGTATGTGTGTACCTGGTTTTACTAAAGAAATGCTGTCATGATGGAGAGTGACAACACAGCAAAGAACTTAATATTAAGTATTTGATATTTCTTTGTCCTTAAAAGTTTGCTGCCCATTCTTACCTTTAAAAACATCTATATTGCTTCCTTGGAAAACATATATGTATAAAAATTTTTTTTAAATACTAGAAGTAAAATTAATACACTGCAGAATTGCCAGGCCACACAGTGACAGGTGGGACACCTCCAAAGTGTGTCTTGGAGTGAGTACCCACTCTATAAATCCATCTCAGGTGTCCAGTGACTCCTAGGATTTTCAGTCATCTTAGGGGATTCATTTTATACTTCTCTGCCTTTACTGTCTCAGTCACTGATTGTTTCTGAAAGGGATATGGGCTTGTTTGACCTTTTGACAGATATCTGCAACTTGCTCGCCTTTCTAGTCTTCTCCTCCATCCTGCGTTTGATAAGTCAGACCAGACATGCTGATGGGAACTGGAAGGAGGGGCCACCCTTAGGCAGAAGAAGACTGAAGAATTGCCGTCAGTCTCTGAAATCCTCTGGAACGCTCCTGGGTGTGGTGGCCTGAATGACTGACCCCAATTCCTTCGATTACTCCCTTGATTAGGCTTGTACATCCAAGCCTTTGCCATGTGACTTTGTCATGCATCTCAACACTGCTTGCTTTGGCTTTGGAAGGTGAGCAGAAGTGATAGATTCCACCAACGGCCATCATAAATGGGCTCGCATGATTTAGCCTGACCTGTTAGTAGTTGCTTCTCCATGTGAGGCAACATGTAGATGAGGAGACATATGGAACAGACATGAACCCAACCTTGCATGCAGGGAAGCAGTGGGTCACACTGGCAGGTGCTACTCCGGTTCACCTTTCAATGTTAACCCTCCTCTTGGATTCTGTACCCAGCAGAGTCAGAACCAACCTGAATACTCAGGAGCAAGAAATAAATACTTGTTATGGGAAGGCATTGAGACTTTGGGGTTATTTGTTACTGCAGCCAAAGCTGACTTACACACCATGTCTTCCACATGCCCTCCTCACACCGTGCTGGTTCTATACTGTGGATTGGAAGATGATGCACTTTACCCCAGATCACACTGACTGAACAGGAAAGGACTGATTCCAGAAGAGTTCGGTTACCAAACTGTGTTGGACAGAATTCTAAGATGGCCCTAAGGTCCTTGGTGTGCATATCCTGTGTAATCTCCTCCCCTTGAATACAGGCAGAACCCGTGGGTGTGATGCAGTGTCACTCCTAAGACTAATTTTTATTAATCTGTTGGCTTAATCAAAAGGGAGATCATCATGGGGGGTGGGGCGCTGATGTAACCAGGTGCACCATTAAAATGAACTAGGCCCTTCCTGAAGTCAGAGGTATTCAGCATGAGATACCATGTGGCAAGGACCTAGTATGGACCGTGGAGCTTAGAGGTCCCTGACTGACCGCCAGCAAGAGAATGGAGACCTCAGTCTTACAATCATAAGGAACTCAAGTTTGAAAACAGCCAGTGATCTTGGAAGAGGACCCAAGCCCCAGATGAGACCCCAGTCACAGCATGCTTTCAGCCCAGTGAGACCCTAAGCAGAGAATCCAACTGAACCACACTCAGACTTCTGACCTCCGGAACTATGAATACACAGAGTAAGGGGAAATGAGTGCAGGGTAGGCAAATGTGAGATGTGTATGAGGAGCTGAGAAACAGGCAGCCATCTTTGAAACAGTCTAGTTCTGGAAAGTAAGCTTAACTAGGAAACCTGTCTGTGTGCATAAACCCCAGCTGGGAAGAAGTTTCTCTGGGTGGGTATCTTATTCCTTTTCAGTTTCTCCCTCAGGGATCTTTTACTTCTTGTGAAGAGGGAGGCATGTTATGTTTATTTATCTTTAGTGCTTGTCACTTTATAATGACTCAGCATCAATTCTTCCTTCCCCACAAGACTGAATTTCCTTTGGGGAAACTTCCATCCATGTGGATGAGGTCAGATTAATCCCACCTTCAGCTGTAGGGCTGGGCTCTGATTCTCTTAAACCAAACAGCATATCCCGTTCCTCAGTCCACAGGCATTGATTCAGGGATGGGCCAGTGAGAGCCAGGCCATGGATTTTTATTTAACTGTTGGAGGGGAAAGAGAGAGCCAGACAGACAGACACAGACACACAGAGAGAGAGACAGGAAGGGAGGGAGAAAGAAAGAAAGACTGAGACTCTCTTTCCTTCTGGACATGGACTGGCTAGCCATCTTGAAATCGTGAGAAGAGAAGCCATGAAGGAATGGAATTAAGAAATGGTGTGGGTGTGTCTGGGTGGCTCAGATGGTTAAGTGTCTAGCCAAAGGCACTAGGCACCAGCTCCTAGGATCGAGCCCCGTGTCAGGCTCCCGGCTCAGCGAGGAATCTGTTTCTCCCTCTGCCTCTCCCCCGCTCATGCTCTATCTCTCT